CTGGGCCTCTCAAAGTGCTGGGATTACCCGCGTGAGCCACTCCACCCCGCCCACCTCAGGCCTGTGGACATGGGCTGTTCCTCCCTCTTCTGGCTGCTCCTGGGGCAGCCTGGCCCCCAGCCCAGCGAGCTCTGCTCAGGAAATGAGCTTCGCTTGCGTCCTGCCTGCTGTTAGGATCTGGTCTTACGTGGTGCTCTCTCACCATGTGTATTTCTTTTAAATTGTGTTTTTTAAACCTATATATGGAAGCATAACCTAAATACAGAAGAGTCACAAAGGAGCCACACTGTGAGCTTCACACCTTGGGCACCTGGGAAGGGCATCAGTTGTGCTCACCCCAAAACCTGGCACCGTTCATCAGGCATGTGTGTGAGCTCCACAGAATGGAGTGTGTGGTTCCTTCTCTCTGTCCTTTGCTCGCCCGTGTGTGTGAGGCCCTCTGTCTCAGGTGCAGATTCACCGTTGTGCTGCAGTAGGGTGTGTGGATGGTTTCTGGATTTGGGCTTGTGCAGAGAGGGCAGCCGCAGCCATCCCATGGGGTGTTTCTGCCTGGTGCCGGGGTGGAACCACCTGCTCCTAGCATCAGCCCCCAGCAGCATCGGCAGGTCCCCCCAAGTGAGGTTTTCTCCTTCCATGGGTCGTAACTGCCACCACCGTCGTAGAACTTGCTCAGCGAGAAAGTTGAGCGGCGGCTGCAGCTCCTTCCTTTCTTGGGGTCAGCTCAGGGTGGGGCTGTGAGCAGCTGGAATGCTGAGATTGCTCTGGGGGCAACCTTGGGGCCATCATGCAGGTCCCCACCTGGTCGGATCGGGCTGAGCTCTCCCGGTGCCTCCCCTCCAGGTGTGCCCCTGTGCTGTGCCACCCTGCAGTGGCTCCTGGCTGAGAATGCTGCTGTGGATGTTGTGAGGGCCCGAGCACTATCTTCCGTCCAGGGAGTGGCCCCTGATGGCGCTGATGTTCACCTCATCGTCCGAGAGGCAAGCAGGGGTTCAGGGAAACGAGCCTCGGCCCCAGCGGTTCTCAGAGTGGGGCCCCTGGCCGGGGGACCACTCCCCCTGGGCGGGGGCCCAGCACCCTTTCCCCAGCCCACCAGAGGGCTCTGATGTGACCGTTTCCCTTCACACCAAGCAGACCCCACTCAGGCAGGGAGGGCCTTGCAGCTCAGATCCCCAAGGACTGTCCCTGTCCAGCCCTGTCCCCCACGGGGGCCCCTTTCCCCTACACATACTGAAGTCATAGTGGGGTCCACAGTGCTGCTGGGTGACACCTGTACCCCAGGAGCAGCCGACACTAATCCCCCGCTAACCCCCTGCACTGCCAGAGAGCTCGGGACCCATCGTGGATGCTGCCGAATGGCAAATGGCGCTGCTGGTCCCTGGCCCCTGTCGTGCACACCTTTCCAGTGACTCATGACTGTGGTGTCAACATCAACTCCAGCAGATCCTCACGTCCCACCTGCAGAGGCTCTTGAAGAGTAGCCCAGGTTGCCAGGTCACGTGTGTCCCTGAGGGCTGACAAGGCTGCCCGGGGCTCGGAGTCTGCGCTTGTTTTTCTTTTTTTGAGACAGAGGCTGGAGTTCAGTCCCCGGCTGGATCTCAGCTCACTGCAACCTCCACCTCCCTGGTTTCAAGCAATTCTCCTTTCTCAGCCTCCTGAGTAGCTGGAGGCGCGTGCCACCACAGCCAGCTAATTTTTGTATTTTTTTTTTTTTTTTTTTTTTTTTTTTTTTTTTTTGAGATGGAGTTTCGCTCTTGTTACCCAGGCTGGAGTGCAATGGCGCGATCTCGGCTCACCGCAACCTCCGCCTCCTGGGTTCAGGCAATTCTCCTGCCTCAGCCTCCTAAGTAGCTGGGATTACAGGCACGCGCCACCATGCCCAGCTAATTTTTTGTAGTTTTAGTAGAGACGGGGTTTCACCATGTTGACCAGGATGGTCTCGATCTCTTGACCTCGTGATCCACCCGCCTCGGCCTCCCAAAGTGCTGGGATTACAGGCGTGAGCCACCGCGCCCGGCAAATTTTTGTATTTTTAGTAGAGATGGGGTTTCACCATGTTGGCCAGGTCTTGAACTCCTGACCTCACGTGATCCGCCATCCTCAGCCTCCCAAAGTGTTAGGATTACAGGCTTGAGCCACCACACCCGGCCCAGTGCCTACACTTGGAATTAAGCCTTGGCCCTCAGGTACCTTGGCTACCCACTACACAGCCCTTTCAGCCCTGAGGCTAGGTCTGGTGGTGGCACTGTGGGTCGGTGCTGATAGCCCTGTGGAAGAGCCACAGAGGACGCTGGCATCTCACTTCATGTGCTGTGTATGGAGAATAAGCCTGGCTTCCTGGCTCTTGGCCTGTCCTTGCTATTCTTCGTTGTCCAGCTTGGCTCAGTCCAAACTTACGAAGGGAGAGGTGGCTATCCCATAGACAGGCCCAGCAGCTCCTGGTGCCCACACCAGTGCCCTAACCCTGCTGCAGACATGATCTGTGATGCCCAGTGTGGGGGGTGGGTCGGGGCCCCCAAGGGCATGGCAGGATCTCCATGTAGGTTGCCCACAAGGCACAGCACAGCAGTGGTCTCCTAGAGTGAACCCCAGTCTGGCTCAAGGCCCTGCGTGGATTCCTTGGTCTGAGGGACGGGGTCTTCCTGGACACGTGTGTGTACACAAGCAGGTTCTTCAGGTAGAAGAACCCAGACCAGGGTACTGAGCTCTGCCTGCCTTCAGGGTATAGCACAGCCCAGGGCAGGAGTTGGGACCCTCCCAAGCCTCATGTGCTGCCAGCTGGGGAGGGTCCCATGTAGCCTTGAGCCCCCAGGGCAGGTGGGAGTGCCATAGGCAGGTGGTGAGGCAGCTCGTGTGTTACAGGTGGCCATGACTGACATCTGCCCAGCAGGGCCCATCCAGGCCGTGGAGATTCAAATGGAAAGCTCCTCTCTGGCCGACATGTGCAGGGCGCACCATGCCATCATCGGGCGCATGCAGGTATGTGGGCTTCTCAGGAAGGAGGCTAGGGTCTGTGGGTCGCTGGCTGAGGTCCTTGATGGGACCCTGTAGCTGCTGGCTTCCGGGTCTGCGGCTCCCCCACAAGGGAGCCGTTGGAAGATACACGCCCGCTCTGCGGCTGAGTGTGGTGTTCGCGGTGGGTCTGTGGGCAACGAGAGGCGTGGGGCAGACGCTCTCAGGAGGCCGATGTGTGCCACCGCCCCCGGCCACCTGCAGGTCCGAGCACTGCCAGGGCTGCCAGGCCAGTGGGTTTCTATTTGTGACCTGTGGGTGAGCCTGAGGTTTCCTCCCTTCCCCTGGCTGGGCAGAGGCTTCGTGGAGAGGCTGTGGCCTGGGCATGGATCCTGGAGCCAGGTGTTGGGAGCCTACAAGTCTTTGTCAAGAGAGTGGAGTTTGCAGCCTGCCCCACGCACAGCCGCAGGGGTTCCCTGGCACAGGAATAGCTGCTTCCATGCTGTGCCTAGAGCCAGCTTGTGCCAGCAGCTGCCAAATCTGAAAAGAAGCTCTCCAAGTTCCAAGCTAAAGTCTATGCTGGTACCCCTGGCAGGGCAGCTGTCAGGCCTGCCCACTAGGACTGTAGTGCAGCTTTGGCCCGTAGTGGGTCTGCAGTGACTCTAGAAACCGTTTTCGGAGTTTGTTGGGGTGGTCCCTGCCCAAGCCTGAGACCAGCTCAACTCCTGTGGGTGCCGTGGTGATGCCTGGTGACCAGGCCCTGTGGTGAGCAGTGGCTCTACCCAGCCCCGGCCGGTGGCTCAGATGGTCGACCCCAGTGAGCACACCAGCTCACACAGCACCAGGACCCGGAGATCTCATTTGGTGCAAGGACCCTGCAGCCTGCACTGTAACACTGCTGTGACCCTGACGACCATGTCACACAGCACCGTGACCCCAGTGATCTCACAGCACCACAATAGGGCTGCCTGGGCTCGGGGGTCTCATCCTGAGTGCTGGGAGGCTGGTGGGGAAGGGTGCTCTGTCAGAGGAAGCTCTGTCCACTGGGCCATCTGGTCCCCAAGAACATCCTGTCCCCTGCCGAGAGCAGAGCTCCAGCCCTGGGTTTGTGTCCAGATCTCTCTCTCCTTACAAGGACACAGGTGTGTGGGGTCAGACCCATCCCAGTGACCTCATCTTGATTATCTGCAGAGACCCCATTTCCAGGCGCAGCCAGGCTCTTGGGTGCTGGCGCTACGGCTTCCATGTGAATCTGGGGGTGCCTGAGTCACCCCAGAGGAGCCCACACACTGCTGCTGCTGCCTCCTGGACAGAGATCTTGGCTCAGGCCACAGACCTTAGTGTCCCCCAACGGTGAGGCGCCCGTCCCACGCACAGGAGTGCTCTCAGGACCCTGCCCGGCGCACGGCAGCTGCCAGCACTTCGGGAACCTGTCGGGCCAGTGCTGCCCCTCAGGGTGTTGGGGTCCCTTCCCAGTTGCTTTACTCTAGGGCCTGCAGGGCCTCACTGCCCAGGCTCGTCTGGAAATTTATTTTTATGTACTTGTGTATTTATTTGAGAGAGTCTTACTCTATCACCCAGGCTGGAGTGCAGTGGTGATATCTCTGCTCACTGCGACCTCCACCTCCCAGGTTCAAGGGATTCTTCTGCCTCAGCCTCCCAAGTAGCTGGGATTACCGGCTCCGTCCACCACACCCGGCTAATTTCTTTATATTTTTAGTAGAGATGCAGTTTCACCATATTGGTAGGCTGGTCTCAAACTCCTGATCTCAAGTTATCCGCCTGCCTAGGCCTCCTAAAGTACTGGGATTACAAGTGTGAGCCACCATGCCCGGTCCCATCTGGGAATTCGGGTCCGAGCCCAGCACAGTGGGCTGTGCTGCAGGAATGAGTGAATGGCCAGGCCAGGGTCTCTGCACAAGACACTGAGGCAGCTCCCGGCTGCTCTGTGCTCTTGAGTGGCCCAAAGGCCAGGATGAGAGAAGGGGACAGGTGGGCAGGTATCGATCTGCACAGAGTGTAGCTCTTGGGGACAGGGAAGATCCCAGCAGTGGAGCGGAAAGAACCAAACAAATTCATTTCCAAGAAACTGTCAGGCCAGGGGCTCTGCCCTGCCACTCTGGAGGGCGGGAAGTCGAGGTGAACAGCAGGGTGGAAAACAGCAAAGTGCCGGTTGGGGGGCGAGGCCGGGAGGCAGAGCTGGGCAGAGGGAGAGAGTCACCCTGCTCCAAGGAAAGTGGGGGCAGGTGCTAGGGCATGTCCTCTCCAGTATGTCCCGTGTCCCCCCAGACGATGGTGACAGAGCAGGCCGCCCAGGGCTCCAGTGCCCCTGATCTGCGTGTGCAGTATCTCCGCCAGATCCACGCCAACCACGAGGTGAGCACCTGGCCCAGGCAGTCCCTCCACCTGGGTAGCGGGAGTGCCAATCACCTGGCCCCCGTCCAGTCACCCGGGGTCCTGGGCAGTCCCTCCACCTGGGTAGCCAGGAGTGCCCCTCACCAGGCCCCCATCCAGTCACCTGGGGTCTGTGAAGTTCTCACAGCACATGAGCGTGGCTCCCACGGGCCGGGGCGGAGTTGAACAGTCACGGCTGTTTCCTGCCCCTCATCCTACCTGAGGGCCGGTGTCTAGGCCAGGCTGCGTGTCCCATGTTTGAAGGTTCTTCCTCGGACCACCTGCCACTTCCCAAGTATGGTCCTGAAGTGGAGGGTCCCCCAAAGGCACCAGTGACGTCCCCAGGGCCAGGTGGGGCCTGAGCTGCGGCTGTTCCACCGCAGACGCTGCTGCGGGAGGTGCAGACCCTGCGTGACCGGCTCTGCACGGAGGATGAGGCCAGCTCCTGCGCCACCGCCCAGAGGCTGCTGCAGGTGTACCGGCAGCTGCGACACCCCAGCCTTGTCCTGCTGTGACCCCGAGGGGCTGTCCTGCCCACGGCTCTGGCTGCGATTCCAGACTCTGTAACAGCCCCCCGGGCCTTAGTGGTTTTAGAGGAAAGCTGAGTGGGCCTGGCCAGAGCTGTGGAAGGTCGGGGAAGGTGTGACCTGGCTATGGAGAAGAACAGGAAAGTGCTTGGAGGCCGTGGAATGCAAAGCAGATCCAGATTGGGAGCTACCCAGGCGGGCTGTGAACCTGGCGGGTCCAGCTTCGCATCCTCTGCTGGTGGCTCCTCTCCTGACTGTGGCCTCCCCACTCGCCTTCCTCCTGGCCGACCGCCTTCCTGCCGCAGCAACCCCTGGGCCAGGAGGTGATGGGGACATTCTGGACCCAAGCACCGGAAAAACAGGGTTTCTGGGGTTTGGACTGAGGTCGGTTTGTAACTGTTGCTGCCACTCCACCAGGAGCATCACTGCCCCTCTGGGTGGCACTGTCAGGCACCCATGGTACCCTTGTCACACTGTCCACACCTGCCCGGCTGCCCACTCTGGGACCCCGAGGTAGGAGGGTGCTCCCTGAAACCAAAGCACAAAGCACCACGCAGGCAGCTCCTGCAAGTGCCCGTGGCTCCGAGCCACAAGGAAGGGCCATTGGGTGGCCTGTGGCCGGAATGCTCAACAGTGAGGGGCCTCCGGCTGGGCTGCACCCAGCACTGTGCACTATTTTCAGGGCCACTCAGGGTGGGGCTGTGGCCTGGGGGCACCCTGAGCTCCAGCCCCCAGCCTCCCTCAGCCTGGGCTACTGCCCGGCTCCCGGTGCTGCCGTTTTCATCGGAGGGGGGGACCTCATCCTTCCTCCTGCGGGTGCTTGCGCCTCTCCCACCGCAGGCACTGTCGATGAGTGTGGGTGGGAACCATGAGGCGCTTCTCTGCTGTGACAAACGACCCTGTCTGTGAAACTTCAGGCCTCCGCTGGTTTTTTTAACCCCTTCCCACCCTCTCTCTGGGGTCCCTTCAGAGCTATGGCACTGCTTGGAGCCCCCAGCACTGGAGTGGCCTCCAGAGAAGAAGCATTCTCTGTGACCCAGTCACCTTCAAGGAGGCCTGGGGCACTACCTGGCTGCTCCTGCCTTCCTCCCTGAGTGGGAGGGGCCTGTGAGGTGCTGCCAGTCAGGGTTTGTCGCTCTCAGGGCTGACATCCAGGAAGCAGGCTCAGCTGGTGACACTCCTAACCCGGCCCTGCGGTGGCCTGTGCTCCTAGGGAGAGCTGGGGCCCAGCAAGTCGCCCCTAAGGAGGGCCTGCCCCTCTTAGCATCCCACTGTGCTCCAGGGCCATCCTCTGCCACCCTGGGCAGGTGCCTCTGGCTCTGACCTTTGTCCCATGCTGGTGCCCATGTCTTGTTCTGAGCATCAGGGAGAGTGAGGGGGCTAGACCAGCCTGTGGGTTCTCCTGAACAGGCCCTGGATGAGTGGACAGGACTGTGCAGGGCCTGTGTCCACCTGCCTGGGGGAGGGGGAATCTATCTGGGACTGTGCCAGCCCTTCACTCACCTTCACAGGCCACAAGGCTCCCAGAGCTGACAGATCTGGGTCCCCTGCAGGACTCACCTCCCCACCCCCAGCTGGATGCCAGCAGGCCTCAGGAGGCTGGGAGCCTGAGGGGCCTTCCACGGGGCTGCTGCTTGTCCAGAGTGGCACTGTCCACCCCTGTCAGCCTCAGCTTTGCAGGGGGTGTGGGGACACCACTGTGGCTCATGAAAGAGCAGACATGAGGATGAGCCACAGGGGTGCAGGTTGCTGTCCTTGGCACTGCAGGCTCCTGACCTAAGGCAGTGCTAGCCACCAGGTCTAAGACGATGTCCCCAGCTGTGCTGAACCCCTCTGTCAGAGCATGCTCCAGGGTCACCCTTGAAGAGGCATCAGCACTGGTGTGTTTAAAAATGTTCATGCCCACCTGCTGGCCTCACATCCTGCTGTGTGGGCGCCTGGTTCAAGTGCCGTGTAGTCCCCCCAAAAAAAGCTGTAGCACAGACCCTGACAGGACCAAGAGGACAGGTCACGTGGAACAGCAAAAAGGAAATCTACAGAGGCAGGAAAAGGGACCACAGTGGGCAGCTGCTGGAGTGTACAGGACTCTGAAATGCCTCCAACTCACAGGCACCTCCAGGGAACCTGCCGTCAACACTGGGCATTCAGAGAGCGCTGGCCTCAGAGGCAGGTGGCAGGTCCGCAGTCAGCTTCTCGGTGAGCCTGTGGATCATGCGGTGGCCGGCTCTGCTGCCCATCCTGGGCCTCCCTGCCCTCACCTGCTCAGTGCACACCTGGGCCGTCGTCAACAAGGTATCCCTACATGAGGCCCTTCCCCGGTGCCAGGAGCGGCCTCAACCTTTCCGGCATTCACCTGTTCCAGCTCAGTTCCTAGCTTCACACTGTAGTCGTGCATGACTCAGCCCAGCTCACACGTGGGGTGGGAGCAGCACTTCCTCATCCTCTCAGGGGCACCTGCTGGGCACCACCTGGCAGCTGTCTGCACAGAGCACCACCTCCCTCAGCAGCAGCAGTGGGGCCCACCCTTCCAGGCCCGGCCATTATGCCCTATTCGAAAGGGTTTCTTTGACCTCCTACCCCACCCTCCACAGGCTAGCCTCTGCCTCCAGCCTCGCCCCAGGCTGTGGATGTGGATGGAAGGGGGTTCCCGCAGTGGTAGGCCAAGTCAGGCAGGGTGGTACTGGGAGACCCTCTCCAAGGCTCTGCTGAGGGGGGAGCCTGGAGGTGCTGAGTGCCAGCCACTGTGGTTCCACCTGGTGCCCCCAGCCTTAGCTGCCACCAGGGGACACTGCAGGCACCACACCGGGAACAGCCCTAGCTCTAGGGCTACTGCTCCTCCCTGCCAGCTTGGACCAGGTAGCGCCTGGTCCTCCAAGGGTTAACTCGGACCCGCCTTGCCCACGTGGTTGGGACAGTTCCGGCCCCTTCCCACTGAACCCTGCCCTTCTTTGTCCCTAAGGCTGGTGGGCTTAGGGAAGGGGCATCCCAGCAGGTTCCTCCTCTTGCTGTGGGTGCCACGTCCCCAGGATTGGCTCTCCCCCACCCTCTGCCACTCGCTTGGCCTTGAGCAGTGTGCAAGGAAGGAAGGAAGCACGAGGGAGCTGCCAGGGGCTAGGGAGGGTTGAGGGCCTAGGCTGGGGCGGCGTGGTGTCGTGAGATCATCTGTGATCTGTGTTGGTGGCTTCACCCCACCCAGGCTCAGGCTGTCCCCCACCCACCCTCAGCCTCCGTGCTCCCCAGGGCCTCAAGACCTCCCCTCCCTCCCCACCTCCACCGGCCTGGGTCACCCCGCCCACCCACAAGGCCGCCTCCTGGGCCGCAGTCCTTGGGCACTGGGAGGTTCTGGGCGCTCTGTGGGGAGAACGGCGGGCCGCCTCCACCTCCAGCTGCAGGCGCCCCGGATCCCACGCGCAGCTGCGGGACAGACGGTTTAATGCGCGGCCTCAGTACTCCCAGAGCGCGGGCCCGGCCGGGGCGTCGGCGTCGGCGCGCAGCAGGCCCGAGGCGCCGCCGCGCAGGTACTTGCCGCTCCGGGCGCGGATGGCCAGGCGGCCGCGCTCGCGGAACTCGAAGAGGAAATCCTCGGGGCGTTCGCCGTCGCTGCACACGCTGCCATGGCTGCCGGTGTACCAGAACCCGCCGCCGCGGCCTGGGTGGGGGGACGGCGTCGGCGGGCTGTCCACGTGCCCGTCACGACCCACTCCCCGCGCCCACCCGGCCCGCCGCGCACCTCGGATCTGGTACGCGCCGTCGCTGAAGCTCAGGTGGAAGACGTCGTAGACCGAGCGGTTGGTGTCCAGCTGGTTGGAGCCGCGGCGGTGGCAGACGAAGCCGTCCAGGCTGCGCAGCACCAGGATGGGCCGGTTGATGAGCTTAAGGATGAACTCCTCGTCCTTGCCTGGCGGGGAGAGCGTCTGCTGCGCCGCCCCTCCCGTCACCTTCCCCGTCCAGGCCGGGCGAGGTGGGCCCCTGGGAAGCACCACCCCCAGATTTGGGGGCCCAGACCTGGCACTGCCTCGTGTGCGGCCTTGGCAAGGTGCCTTGGGGGTTCCCGAACGTGCAGTGGAGATAAGGAGACTCCCATAAGGACACTCAGACCTAACTGTTTCCCTTGCCAAGATGGATTATGTGGGCCAGCAAGTGTGACTGCCACGACAGCAGCTGTTCCGTGGGCTGGGGAGGGTCCAGCTCTTGGTGGAGGTGGGGTTTCTGGGCAGGTGCTGTCCCTGGATGGAGACAGCCCCTGCCCCACTCCCTGGCAGGCAGAGTGCTCACCCACAAAGTCGCTGATGGCCGCCAGCTGCCCGTTCTTCTTCATGCACACGTAGCGCCCATTGCTGGCTTTGAGTGCCACTCGCCGGCCGCGCCACTGCAGCTCAAACATGGTGTCGGCGGAACTGGAGGGAGCAGCGAAAGGTCTCAGGGCAGCAGGAGATGGGGGGGCAGGGTCTCACTTCCCCATCCTCCTCAGGTTCCAAGGACTGGGACAGGAGCCTGCCCTCCACTGGCACACCTACCACCATCAGGAGCTACCACCCCCAGTGGCCTTTCCTCCCTGTCTGAGCTGCTATGGCAGTCCTCATCTCCGACGCAGTGATGGTGGTGGAAGTTATGGGAATGGTGATGGGGATGGGGATGGGGATGGGGATGGTGGGGGTAGGGATGGTGATGGGGGTGGTGATGGGGATGGTGGGGGTGGGGATGGTGGTGATGGGGATGGTGGGGGAGGGGATGGTGGGGGTGGGGATGGTGGTGATGGGCATGGTGATGGGGATGGTGATGGGCATGGTGATGGGGATGGTGATGAAGATGGGGGTGGGGATGGTGGTGATGGGGATGGTGGGGGTGGGGATGGTGGGGGTGGGGATGGTGGTGATGGGCATGGTGGTGATGGGAATGGTGGGGATGGGGATGGGGATGGTGGGGATGGGGATGGGGATGGTGGGGATGAGGATGGTGGGGTTGGGGGTGGTGGGGGTGGGGATGGTGATGGGGATGGTGTGGATGGGGTTGGGAATGGTGCTGATCCAGGTGTTGGGGGTGGTGATGGTGGTAATGGGGATGGTGGAGGAGGGAGGGGTGCATGCACTCACACTTCTGTGGCTGTGGCCTCAATGCCCCCATGGGTGACCAGGGTCCAGTAACCCCCAATGCTGGAATAGAAGGTGCACTTCTTTGTCTCCTGGTCAATTTGCATCAGGAAGGTCTCATGGTCTAGTTCTTCATCCTGATTGGCTGAGACGTTGACCCCTGGAGGGAGGAGATGGGGAAGCCCCTCACGCCTCTCCTGAGTAGGGAGCAGGGGACCAGGAGGCATGCTTTTGGGGGCACCCTTGAAGCCAGAAGGGGATCTCATCTAGAACCCACTTGATTTGAGAAGATTTGGAAGGCACCTCTCGGAGAGCCTGGGAACCCTGCCTTGGGGCCATATGTGCCATCTGTGGACCCTGCACACTGTCCCCAAGGGAGTCATGACCTCCCTCCACACCCCCAGGAGTCAGGCCCTTCCACTTGGCACAGCCCCCACTCTCTGCTAATCAGTAATCAGCTGGTAATCTGCTTGCCCTGCTCTCTTGAGCCAAGGCTTACACCAGCCTCTATTTATAACTCACCCTAAGCTGCTGGGTGGGCACAGCCAGGAGCTAATGAGGATGGGGATGGGAATAGGGCATCCATGGGCACCAGGCAGGGGCTGGTCCCTGTTACTTCTGCAGCTTCCCCAACCACCTATGCTTGGGCTCCAGGAGCTATGGGGGAGGATAAGACTGCCCCTGCCTCCATCTGGGGTTCCTGCAAGGGGATGGAGGGACACCCATGCCCAGCGTGGGGACAGCAGGCACCAGAGCCTCTCCAGCATCTTCGGTGAATTGAGTCCCTGGCTCCTCCCACAAACCATTTCCCTGTTTCCATGGCAACCAGCCCTGGGAGTGGTGTGGCAGATTGTGGAGTTCCCCAAGAGGCCCAGGGACTCTGGCGGCCTGTCCAGCTGGAGGACCAGGAGGGAGTGGTGGGCAGAGCCCCATGGGGCCTGAAGATGGGGTTGTCCCGAGGGGAGGAGGGCGCCAGGCTGTGGCTAACCTAGAAAGGCTAGGACCTGTTGCCTTCTGCCAGCTCCAGGGCTGCCCCTCACGCCCCAGGCTGGGGTCTCCATCGCACCCTTCACTGATCAGATGCAGAGAAGCAGCCAGCATGTCCCCGGAATCGTGGCCCAGCATTCGTGCTAGCGTCCCCACTACCACCAGCTCTAGATCCTGGCAAATACTGAGCTAAGAGCAGCTGCCACATGCCTGGAGCCTGCCTAGGCCCTGTGGAGGGGAACATGGACATGGTGCCCAGGGCAGCAGGAGCCCTCAGGAGGCGGCACCCATGAGGGGCGTGGCAATGCTGTCCCTGTGGGCACTGAAGGAAAAGCAGGTGTGAAGCCACAGCATCGCAGGGTTCCCGCCACCACCGGACCTCCTCGGCCAGCACTCTGGTTCCCCAGGGTTGCCCCACCCCTCCTTCAGACAGGATGCAGTCCAGGCTGCCTCACTCGGCCATCTGCATCCAGGGACACAGCCTCAAAGCAGGAGAGAGCTGGAGTCCGCGTTGGTCTAGGCAACGCTGGTTTTAGGCCCCTCAAGAGAGGCTAGTTGAGCAGCTGGGGGACCCTCAGTTCTGGCCAATGAGCATGAAGCAATGTCTGCTAGGATTTAGGGGGGAAGTTTCCTACTCCTGAGAAGACACAAGCAGAGCCAGTGCCTCTTTTTCCTCTGGACTTTGTCCTGCCGGGATGTAAGGCCTGGAATACCAGCAGCCACATTATGACCGTGAGGGTGTCAGGCTGAGGTCAGAGCTGACCCTGGAGGGTGGCTTGGTGACAAGGTAAGGACAGAGGACTCCAGGGAAGCCCTGAGCTGGCGCCGGTGGCCGCCTGGGAGCCCACCAAGGCCAGGGCCTCTGCACTGCCGTTTTAGGAGATGATCGGTGTCACAGCTTGAGCCAGTCTGTGGCCAGTTTTCTGTTACCGGCAGCGTCAGACACCGCCTGCCATGCTGTCTGTCAGCAGAAATGAGCAGGCTCCAGCTGATGGAGATACCACGCAAGCTGAGTGCTCACAGCCCTCAGGGGAAGAGGCTTAGGGGCCACCCAGCCAAGGAGACGCCTCAATGAAGGCCTGCCGGGCAGTAGTGATGCTGTGGCAGCACTCATACTGCAGCTGCCTCGCCTGGGAATTCCAGCCCCAGGACTGAGATGCCATGCCCCGCTCCCACAACACCGGCCGCCAAGTGAGGGCCTGAAACACCTGGTGGCCAGGTCATGGCCCTCAGCCCTATTGCAAGGCAGGTAGGGAGGCGACTGGCTGCCGTTTCCTGCTTCTAAAGCGGGAGATGGGTGCTGGTCTTTAGTAGGCGATTCTCCCCTCAAAGGGATGACGGGGGCAGATGCAGGGTGGTTGAAGATTAAGAGACTGAAGAATGGTCCATACAGCCCCCAACCCTCCACCACCATCGCCATTGCCACTGCCACCACGCCCTCACGTCCAACTCCACACCACCGTCCACATCACACATCACTGCCACATACTCTCACCATGCCCTCACGTCCAACTCTACACCACCGTCCACATCACACATCGCTGCCACCAATGCCACGGCCACTGCCATGCCCACCATTCAGGTTTCATCACAAGCTGTCCACGTACGAATGCGTAAAAGTCCAATGTCTTCGGCTCTCGTGGAGGAAGAATTCTCAGTGCCACGGTCCCACTTACCCCCTTTAACCACCTAAGGATTGCCACACATCCAGGCCCAGGCCAGCAGGCACGGCAGCTGGACTGTGGGCTATGATGGGAAGGAGGGCCATGGCTGTGCATCCACAGTTGAACCCTCACTCCTGGGACCCTGTCACCGCTGGGACAGGCCCGAGGACACTTACTGCAGTGGCAGGGCCCCTGTAGCCACAGCCAGGTTCTGCTCTCGGTGCTCAGGGTGGGGCCTCTGCCATCTGGCCCCAGAGTATCAGTGTGTCCAGGGGGCCTGGACTTCCGTCAGGGCAGGGGCATGGTGGGCACCTGGGAGCTGCCGGGAGATGGGGAGCTCTCCTTGCCCAGCTGGTGCTGGTCTGGAGAGGCCCGAGTCGGGAGAAGGAGCTCCATGCACCCAGCTCTCCCCACCTCGCCTCTTCAGACCAGCTCAGAGCCCCTGGGATGTGGCTTGCCACTCTGGGGCAGGTGGAGCCAGGAGCCCAGCGGGTAGTGACTACCTGGGTCAGGGTCTTCCCCCAGAGCTCAGCCTACTTGTGGGGAAGGAGGAACTGCTGGGGTTCACCCCACAGGTGGCAGAGGGGATCACACAGGGAGGGTTCTGGTGACCTCAGCAATTGGGAGAGCCAGGCCACGCCCACTGAGCAGGGAGGCTCCTCCCCAACAAGAGTGAGGCTGTGTGCCCCAGTGTCCTCTAGCACTGGAGGTGACCTGAAGCCCCCACTCCTGGGGCTACATGAGGCCCCACTAGTCGGGCATGTGGTGGTGCCGTCCGCTCCCTAACACCGGCTCCCTGTCCTGCCCCGGCCCCTCCCAATTTCCTTTAAAGTCCAGAATGTGGGGTGAAGGAAGAGAATGGGAGAAATGGGGCTCCCACAGCCTCCTGCCCACATGCCCCTCGTGGTACCAGGCCAGGCTGTGGGCCCTCTGCCCCTGCTGGGCACTGCCCCGCCAGACCCACACCTCTCCAATCTCAGACTGCGCAGCTGCCCAGGGCTTGGCTGAGACATTGTCCAGCTGTCCTGAGAAAGGCTGGGACCCCTCGCCTCTGACCCTGAAGCCACCACCCCTCAGTGGGGGCCCCCGGGCATGGCCCGAGGCCCACCTGCCTGCACTGTGAGGGCCACACATGTCCCATCTGATCCCCAGCTCAGAACAGACATGGAACACACATAGACAGGATGCCACTCCCGGAGAGTCGCCCACGGCCTCCTCCCTGAAGCAAGGGGTCCCAGCAGCCCTCAGGAGGCCACCGTCTGCGCCCCCTTACCTTGGCGCACGGAGACGTAGCGGTGGTTGGCGGCCACCAGCACTACCTGCGGGTGACTCTCCTCCAGGTCAAAGAGCTCATCCTTGCCCGGCCGCGTGTTCCGGCCGGCCTTGAGGGTGCCAGCAGGCCCCACGGGTGCCAGGTAGCGGCCGTCGCAGTCCTTGAAGGCCAGCTTGCCTGCCTTGAACTCCAGTGTGTAGCGGGCCCGTGACTCGGGCTCCCAGACCAGGCGGCCATCGCTGCGCAGGTAGCGGCTGTCACAGGTCTTGAGGCAGTACTGCCGGCTCTGGAAGATGAGGGTGAGGAGGGCGTCCACACCCCAGGGCACGTCGCCGTCCGCTGCCATCTCGTCCTCCTGCAGGCACAGGTGCACGTAGCGCCGCCGGCTCACGCTCAGCAGGTGGGCCTGCGGGTGGATGGCCAGATGCACCGTCCACAGCTCCGCAGGGGAGATGGCCGTGGCGAAGCAGGACAGCCGGTCCTCAGTGCCCCCGAAAAAGCGGCCGTGCGGCTCTGACTGCAGCACCCAGCGCCCGTCCGGCTGTGGCAGGACCAGGAAGCGGCAGTCACGGCCCGGCCGCTCCGCCTCGCAGGCCACACGCCCGTCCTCTTTGGCCGACAGGTAGCGGCCCAGGTGGCTGCTGCGGAACAGCACTGCCGTGCCCTGCCCGGGGTCGGGCTCCAGCACCCAGGTCTGCTTCCTCTTGAGGCTGGGCGCTGACGCATTGACTTTGAAGCCGAAGCTCTCGGCTGTCAGATAGCGGTCGGTGTCGTTGAGGAGGCCGAACTGGATCTTCAGCACCTGGTGCAGGCCATTGGTCGGCATCTTCAGGCTGGCCGGTCCCCGGAGGGGCCTGGGGCGCTCCCTCTGAGTGCTCACGGCCCCCACAGTCCCCCAGAAGCCTGGCTCCGCTCGGCTGGCCCGTGGCCCCCAGACCCAGCAGGTGTCATGGACCCGCTGCCTGCCCTGACCCGCCTCTGACCCGCGGCTGCAGCCGCCTGGGCAGCTCTTAGAGGGCCAGTGGGCAGCAGAGGGCGGGCGGACAGGGCGGATCAGAGACGTGCGGCTTAGGAGCAGCGCCTTTCATTCCCCTCAGCTTGGATTTCAGCCACTCCCGGATTGCAGGGGGCAGAGCCTGAGGGCCTGCAGGGCTGGGGAGCAGGGTTGACCCCCTTTCCTCACAGCGTGGGCCCGGCGCCCCTCCTCATGACCCTGCACCTCTTGGCCTCTCTCGCTCCTGCCCACCTCCTCCGACCCCCCGTGTGGGCTCCCAGCCTGGCTGCCCCTTCCCGATGCCGAAGCCGCCCAGCACTGCCGCAACCCGATCGCTGGCTGCAGCCTCAGTGGCCGCTGGGCCCTCTGCTGGATCCAGTTACTTCTCTGAGTCCTGCTGCCAGGAGCCAAGCAAGGACCCCACCCACAACCTGCAGCCCAGGTCGCCTCCACCCCAGGCCAGCCTCTGGCCATGCTGCTCAGGCCCCAGCATGACGCCCACGGGACCACTGCCCACAGCAGAGGGTGGAACACAGCGCCTGTGCCGCCCTGCAGAAGTGGGTCAGAGGCCTCGGGCCGTCCTGGCCCCAGCACTCCTGTGTGCCCTGAGCAGGTCACTGGGCCCTGAGGCTGCCCCTTCCTCTGCCATGAGCTGGAGTGAAGCCACCTCATTTCACTTCGGGGTCTTTATGGGTATGGATCCAGGAGGCTGATGGGACGATGTCCACCCCATGCTCCCAGGGGTGGCCCTTGAAATCTGGGAGAGGATGAGGCCAGCAGGCTGGGAGAGACTGGAAGTGGTCACACCTGTTCCCAGCACCTCCCACCTTGGGCTGCCTGGCTACACCCCTTCCCCAGAGCCTGAGGGGCACTGGGCCCTGCTCCCTGTGCCTGCCCGGCTCCCGCACCTGCCTCAGGGGCTTGGAGCCAAGGAGTGAAACCAGAGCTGCCCACCCTGGGCCAGGGCCAGCCCGGTGTCCTCTTCCTCATAATAGCGGGTGACCCTCCGGTCTCCCTGGGGACTGGGAACAGGGGCCACAGTCTTGGCCTGGAGTCACTCCCCTGTCCTCCTGGCCCCCCATCTCCTGAGTGGCCATCATAGGGTCCCCATATGGCAGGGGACTAAGCAAAAGCAAGGGGCCTGGCCTGGGCCCCTGGAGACCATGGTGGTAGAGTGTGCACAGACTCGGATTCTTCCTCCATCCTTTAAGCCCTGGGCAGCAACCGTGCCAGGCATCTGCAGACATTGTCCCCAGTCCCCATGCTGAGGGGCCAGGGTGGAGGTGGAGAGACTCCCATGTGCAAATGCCCACCACAGCACTGTGCACGCTGCCACTCCAGGGGCTGGTCTCACCTCTCCCTGTGTGCTGGCCTCACCCACCTCTGTGACTCACACGAGCTTGAGGCCACAACTGTGCGCGCAGCCAGGCCCCGTCCTAGGAAGACGCAGTCTGGGGTTGTGCCTCCTCTCCAGAGACGATGAGTACACACACACTCGCCACAGTTTCCAGGGAACTGAGGACCCAGGCTTAGCACCCAAGCCAAGGAAGAGTCTCTGGTTTAGGGGCACAAGCCAGGGGTGCTGCCTGCACCTCAGTTTCCCCTTGGATCTTTTATATTTTCTTGGAACAGGGTCTCACTCTGTCGCCCAGGCTGGAGTCCAGTGGCACAATCTTGGCTCACTGCAACCTTTGCCTCCTGAGCTCAAGCAGTCCTCCTGCCTCAGCCTCCCAAGTAGCTGGGACTACAGGCACGTGCCACCACGCCCAGCTCATGTTTGCATTTTTAGCAGAGAAGGGGTTTTGCCATGTTGCCCAGGCTGGTCTCGAACTCCTGAGCTCCAGTTATCTGCCGGCCTTGGCTTCTCAAAGTGCTGGGATTACAGGCATAGCCACTGTGCCCAGTCTCCTGTTGGATTTTGAGGTACAGCTCAGTTGGTCTGAGTGATGGGGGAAGCCAGAGGGGCAGCTGTGCCCATGGTCCCCCCACCCCAGGCAGACACTGGCTACACTTCCGTGCCCCAACACCCAGCCAGGCTTTGAAGGAACCCGGGGTGGCCTGTCCCTGATTGGCATGACAGCCTCATTAGCGCTGCCTAGGCTGGCAGGGTGCTTAGGCATCAGGTGCCTAGCAGGAGCAAGCCTGGCCGCCAGGCACTAAGTGGGCCTGACTCTGGGCAGCCTCTCAGTGGCAGAGCCAGAAGTGATGGTGGCTCATCACTTCTGGGGCCCAGAGCTCCACACTGGGTAGGGCTGCCTGGCACTGACCCAGGTGTGTGAGCTACAGGGGACTCTCGGGCCCCAGGGGAGGGCAACTGAAGGGTGGGCACCTGGGCCAGGCTTCCTCGCAGGGAGGATTTGCAGGGCTCCCAGCCCCTCCCACCTCCACCTCAGGACCCCAGGCTCCTGCCCAGCCACCTGCCGGGGTCATGTTTCCTCTGGATCTCCAGCAAGTTTTCTGGCACAGAGCAAGTCCTTACTAAGTGCCTGAGGTTGTTGACTCTAGTTCTTTATTATTGAGATGGAGTCTCACTCTGTTGCCCAGGCTGGAGTGCAGTGGCACAATCTTGGCTCACTGCAACCTCCGCCTTCCAGGTTCAAGTAATTCTCCTGCCTCAGCTTCCAGAGTAGCAGGGATTACAGGCACCCACCACCACACCTGGCTAATTTTTGTTTTTTTAGTAGAAAGGGGTTTCACCATGTTGGCCAGGCCGGTCTCAAACTCCTGACCTAAGGTGTTCCACCCACCTCGGCCTCCCAAAGTGCTGGGATTACAGGTGTGAGCCACCATGCCCAGCCATCTGGTTCTTTTTAAATTTATTTTAGAGACAGGGTCTTGCTTTGCGACCCAGGCCGGAGTGCAGTGGTGCTCTCTTGGCCAATGGCAGCCCCGGCCTCCTGAGTAGCTGGGACCATAGCACAGGGGCCCGAATCTTGTGTCAAGGGCTGGCTGAGCCTCTGCCAATGGGTGCAGCGTCATGCATGTGAGTGTGTGTGTGTGTGAAGGGCCACATGGACCAGGGTGGGCAAAGGTTGCCAGCAGGGTCACCTGCTGGGCCAGCCCTGGGCCCTGGAATGCCACCCTGGATCCCAGCCAAGAGCCCCGGTTGTACATTGCCCAAGGGAGGCTGTTTCCAGGGTCCTACACATTTCTTGCAGAAATACGCAAATCACAAGGGCCTGTGGTGGGCTGGGGTGCTCTATCCCCCTCCTGCCCCTACCCCTGAAGTGTTCTCAGACAACAGGGAGCACACTTCCCATTGACACCCACGAAGCCCTGCGGCCACAACTCTGGAGATGCCAGGCACCCACTCACATGGGGTACTACTCGCCTGCCACCCTGACCTGTGCAGGCTGTACTGGGGACATTCAAAGCTGCTGCCACTCTGAGAGCTCCACACCCCACCCTCACTCTCCTCTGAACCCGGTGGGTGGAGGCGTCTGCCCGGTGTGTGCCTGAAGCCCAGGCTGAGGTCTGCACCCAGGAGGGATGCCTTGTCCTGGTGGGCACTTGAGAGGGTGTTTGGGGTAGCAGTACCCCCAGCCCCCTGCTCCAGGGAGCAGCCAGCTGTGGAAGACCTCCTGGCTCCAGCTGGGCCCAGAGGGCAAGGAATGCCTCAGCCATCAGCATCCCCTGGCGGCCTCCCCTGAGGCCTGAACCTCAGCCTCCATCCCTCTCAGTGCTGGGCCAGCTACAGAGAGAGCTGTGGTGGGACCAGGAAGCCATGCACCCCTACGGACCCCTGGTGCCCCCGCCGCGCCCAGGCTTTCCTGAGAACTCTCAGGAAACCATTCTCTTTCTGGGGTGCTGGGGGATGGGCTGCCCTGGCGTTGGAGGGCCCCCCTTCCCCTCACTCAGTTGGCCCTCTGGTGCTACAAGGGGAAGGACCCCAGTCCCCCATGCCTAGACCACTGATCCTGGAAGCTAGAGCCCAGCCTGGGCTCCTGCGGGCACATTGTCTGCTGCCATGGTGACCAGCACGTGCTCCCGGCGGGGTGCCCTGCAACGCTGATGCTGCTGGTGTGAGCTGGCACAGGCCTGTGCGTCTGCAGCTAGGGGAGAGGTGGCTCCCCGCCCTGCTGGCCTGGAGCCCTGGAAACGGAGCCCTGGGGCTGCCCTGCAGCTGAGGACCACCAGCCCCCACAGGCCCCGCAGGCATCAAGGGAGCCCCCACTTTGGTCCCAGGCCCTGACTGCTGCCACTCCTGTAGGCATCTCTGTCCCCAGTGGTTCCCAGGTGCTCCACCCTCCCCGTCATCCCTGTGCCAGGCCCCTGCCCAGGCTCTGCTGACCCCAGTCCTGCAGCCAGGTGAGGCCCCCCTGCTGGGCACACCGGGCCTTGATGTCCTCACTCCTGGCCGAGCACCTGCTCCCAGGGCCCAGCCCCCGTGCCACTCCTGAGCCCAGGCCCGCAGCCCGGCGGCCTCATGACTTTTTCATGGCTGAGCTATCGGTCTCGCTGCAGTTCCGCTTACACTGGCGAGGGGGCTGCACTGCTCTTTCTCTGACCTGGGTTGGTTTACTGAGGCCAGGTTTAGGGTGACAGGCTCCATCCGCCACACAGGGCAGGGCAGGGTTGAATGAAGAGCTTGGGGAGGGGCTCTCCAGCGTGGTCTCCTACCTGCTCAGAGGGACCCCTCCCCTCCCGGCCCCTCCGAGCGGGCCACTTCCTCAACTGCTGTTTGTTCATTGCTGGCTGCTCCAGGCCTCCCCTTGGGACCGTCAGGGTGGAAAGCCCACGCAGTCTCCTAGCCTTTACCCTCTGTGAGATCATAAGGTGCTGGTCAGGGGCTGTGCCTGGAGGGAGGGGAGGAAGAGCCCCTTTCGGAGAGCTCTAGGC